AAACTTAGTCCCATCAATTTTGGTGTAGTTCAGAGCAAAATCATGGGCTCCCCTCCCCTCACAGTTCAATCTTAGTTATATACACTTGTTAACCTCACAAAAAGCCGCTCTTTTTTCAGGTGAACCTGAAGTGGCCTTCACATTCCCTTGCGACAATTTAGGACGTTTTCAGGATGTGGTCCACAAAAACTAGACAAAGTATCTGCGTAGTCCGCTTTGTAGAAGTCACAATTCAGCAAGAACAAATATGGCTGTATTGGCTTTGATGTTACTCAATCGACATTAAATGAACGCTTCAGTTTGTTGATCCACTTGAGTACCAAAGTGTTTTTGACCTAGCACTCGGGTGTTTTAGTAACCTGACTTCTTCTGAGCAAGTCGCGTGGCAGATATGCAAGTCGAGGGTGCTTTTAGGATGCATACTTAGAAACTTCTACAACCAAGAAGCCAAGCTCTTAGAAACCTCCATAAGAGCGCTTTCTGAATACTGCATATTTCTTCTGCGTAGTGGTCGTATATGTTGTAAGCTAAAAATGGAAAGTATCTAACTATATTTTACTTCCAAACTACTTGGATATGATTGTGCGTGACTAGGTTCCAAGGTGTATGTCATGAAAACTAGACCTACTGTAGACGATACGGCTTGGTATAAATCTAGTATTCCTATTTAGCGTCCTACATAAAGTATAGTTCTTGGACAGTGAATACATGTAGGGGATCACAGAGGTCCATCCATTCAACTGATTCTCACCTCTCTCTCAGTGGTCAGTTGATTTATCTCTGCTGATTAAATGAGACTGCGGACAACTGGGTTTTCAAGCAACAAGAATACAGCAGTGAGTTATGGTGTGATTTTATATCCTTGTACTCCCCATACCATCGTCAATAAATACATTGTTGAACACTCCGAATGGTAATATTCTCCCTTTTCTAGTTAGGGATGTGTTAAAAGCGACCCTATCATCAGGTTAGATAGGACGGGATATAGAGTCAGCAGATGGCGTGGTCAGAGCTCAGGTCTAATAGGATAGATGGCCACACAACGGTAGCGAGCTTTTTTCTAGTTGAAGTCAATCAAGAACTAACTTGAAGTCATTAAGCAGCGCAGCAAACAGTAGTTTTCTGCAGAAAAACTTTTCATACCTCTTCAGTAAACAAACGTGCGCATTAATGAAAAAAGCGTTTGAAACATTAGTTCTTGAGAAATTCTCCAACATGAGACACAACAGCGACAGTCATTCAAGGACGTATTTATTAACGACAGTTTGCTGGAAGTATGTGGACAAACGATCACACCATAATGCAGCGGCCGCTCTTTTGTTCCTGAAAACGTTGTAGCCACTGCAAGAATAACTTTCTGAATGGACATACTCGCAGGCTTCAACTAAAATCCATAACAACACCAAATGGTCCCAGATAAAATTATACTAATAAAGGGCTGTTGAAGAACTGCAAGATTATTGTCATGTTAAACAAAATGTTTCAGACAAACACAGTGAAGACCTTCAAATATGAGGTTATCAAGCATACAGACACGAAGAACACGATGGATGGAACCAAAAATGGTTCTCACCTAACGAAAATTTGCATTCAGACAAGAAACGTACAACAGTTCAGGGAAACACAAATGACTTATTAATACAAAGCGTAAAGCACAACTTCAGTGTTTGGAGGTGTATAATTAGATGCAACATTAACTGTCCGTCGTGTGGTGCAGCCAGATCATGTATACAGATTTACCGTCAAATTTTTCACCTCCTTCTAGGAAGCTAGAGCAGTGTAACCATATATGTATATATATTATTACTGTATGCATATATTGATTGATTTTTGTTTAAAATGAACTCTGTGCAAGTATGTTAAAATTATTTCTGTAGATATATTCAATAATAACTTTGGCCTGTAAGCAGATGATGAGAAGCCAACGAAATAAATGATGGTACCATTTTATTCTCTTGTTCTTACTTTATTCAAATTCTAAGGTGTCTAAGTCATTCATCTAGTCAGAGGTGGCTAATGAATTCTTTCAGTAATGCTTTCTTAATGTTATCAAATGACTCCCGGTCTCCAATTGGGGACAAGAGAAACAGATATTTTTCACATGTTTAAAGATGAAGGCTTCTATTAGCAAGCTAACATTCCTTATTTGAGACAATAATGATATAGATGTCAGCCGATCATTGCCAGCTATTTAATATGCCATCGATTTAACCCGTTTGGCCCCTCCAATTACTACATATCGACATTTCTCAAAAATATAGAGATGACGACTTTCGTAAGACGTTTTATATTCATACGGTGACTTTCGTGCTAATTATACATACCACAGCGAATCGTGTCACTTGATTTTATAACTGCTAAAAAAGACAGTATACGCTATACGTTCGTCTCCGCATTTACGATTGTCTTTCAAGTGAAATTAAACGGTGACTGCTGCTATGTACCTATCAGTAGAGGCGTCAGAAAAGCTTGCTGTAGACAGAAGACAGCTCTCCGGAACACGGAGCAATATTTAACGCATATAACGACCAACTCGATTTCAATTCAAGCGGTATTAAAAGACTGATATTTGGCCGAAGACTCGTTGATCAACAAAGTATAAGCCAATATGACGAGTTAATTACGCAGCAGCTTGACATGTGATTCACAGTTGTTCACCATTAATGCTACCAATACTTTCTACAAATAATGCCAGCATAATACACATTTACGCTTCCGGTCATATTTCTTCGAACTTCATGACAGAGGTTGCTGCTACTAAAGAACAGGAAACTGATTTCAGCGAACAAGGTCATTGAACGTTGACTCAATTTTCATCATTGATGACAGCACTCCTTCTAATTATTTGGTCGAACCTCATCGCCAGCACTAAGAAATTAAGCATGAGTGATCCTGGAGATGAAACAGAGTTCCCAAGAGTAGAAGGTATAGCAAAGATTTAAGTTTTCTCTATAACAATATTCCTTCTAAAGAACAACAGGTTTGCGATGTTCAGAATCTGACGGTACACGTGGCTTTGGTGGCACTACAAGTTACTAAATAGTCCTGATATGGGTCTTCCATATAATCTCCGTTCACCAGGATGTGCGGCAGAACAATTAAGCATAAACGGACGTCGTCATGTTTCGTTGCTTTTTCGCAGCTGCACACAACTACAATCAATTTGAATATTGACATATCAGTACAAGGAAATAAAAGCCACTGTTAAACCTGTTATTATTCACATAAACAACTGGAGAATAATCTATAACAGAGGTATGAAATTAAAAACACACGAAAAAGCCAAATGAGTTGGCTGATTCGAGGTCGAAAATAGTACAGTCAAGGACATAGATAAATTCAGAATGAAGGGTATGGTATTACTTTATAAAGGCGCAACGTAATCAAAACAAGCAGAATAAACGAAAAGTCCTCGAAAGTAACGAAAAACAAACCGTATTTACCATGGTAGGATTAGTAACATATTCAGAAGGGAAAATAACATGATCGTTTCCCTTGGAGCTCACAGGCTTAATAGACTGACTTCGAAATTCACAACGCGAAAATGCCCAGTGACAAGGTTTTTGTACCAGTGCTTCTTGATTTATATTTCTGTCTTTTAATACAGTCTGGATGCTATAGGTTGGCGTGGAGGTGTGTTCGCAAGATACTCATTATCTGTTTCTCCAGACATCGAAAATCACCACGTCCATGAGAAGGGATGGAGTCAGATTATACGGTGAATCAACTTTTTCTTTTATTTTGCATGAACTCTGAACAGTGATACCATGTGTAAAGCGGAAGTAGCGTGTTATGTCTTCAGTGAAAGCGAGGAAATACTCAGGGCTTGAATGATGGACTTATGTTGCTTGCTATTTTTGCCTTTTATCCTCATGGGGATGGGGAGTTATTGTGCATCTTTTCGTACCTCTGTTCAGGAATTAGAATTCTCCACCACAATTGAGTGCTTATCACTTCTAAGTCGTAAAATAATAATATTCACAGCGAAAAGAGCAAAAGTTACGATTTTTAAAGCTAGCATTCCCTTTCCATATCGAGGTGTCTGTAGACGTACCGAGAGCATACACGCAAACGATTTCTTTCAATATAGCCTTCAGTCAGGCATTGATGATGATGACCACTTCCTTCTCCCCTGCCTAAGCGATCGTTCTAAACTGTGTTATAAAAAGCAGCAAAAAGTAACCCATGGGAAAAAGTATTTCAAATATAAAAAACTGAAGGGAGTGTCAGGTTTCAGAAGAAATTCATGAAATTGAGTCATGAGTAAAACCACTGTAGAGGTTATGCACAGGCTAGTATTTGGCTGAAATGACTTGACGTAAATATAAAGCAACTACTACTGCAAAATCTGGAATTATTAAGACTTACGAAATTGCTTTTCGTGTTAGGACTTGAGCCTCATTTTAGATTCTAATCGAAATCCCACGCAATCTGTTGGAGTTAAGTGGTTTAAGATATGTGGTGGACTTAAGTGAGACCTCAATAACAGAAAAACTATCACATTAAAAATCCAATTAATGAATGAATATTGTAACAGTTTATTATAAAAATACAGTTAACTAGATATGAAAGTTAATGGTTACTTGAAATGCAGTCACAACGAACTACGACAAATTGTCAGTATCATCCTCAGAGCCGTTCCAGTGCTGTCTGTCCACTGACAGAGTTTGTTTGCTGGTTGTAGAATAATCTTTGGATGAGCATAGGATGTTCCTGTAAATACCAAAGGTTACAGTGCGGGTATTAGTGGATAAAGAGGACAGTAGGAACCAGTGAGAAGACTAAGTGACGGACAGCACAACTATATTTGAAGCTGAACGTCAAAGTTATGTATTATCGTTAAAGAAGTCGATTGAACAAAAATCACATTGTGTGTCCATTTTTGACACCTAGCAGGAACTGCACAGACATCACACATAAAACGATTTTTAAAAGGGTAATAATTATCTGGCTCTGAAAAATCAAATGGCTGCCGTGATCCTGCAATTGGAATATTGACGGTTGAACACAGTGACCTCGAGAAAGAGCAGCGGACATCCATCGACAGAAAGGGTTTTCGAAGGTCATTCCGGTCGAATTAGATGAAGTCACAGGTGAGGGTTTTAGGTTTTGTGGATATTGTATGTACAAACAGTTTCATCGAATAACATTTCTTAATCGTCTGAGACACATTAAGTAATGAAGGAACTAATCACAAGGAACTCCTCGAGAGAACGCTGCAATCGTTATGGAAATGTAGTCAATGTGTGGATGTAAAAAGGACTGGTGTTGTCCTGTATCTTATGAAGTACCAACCAGCATTTAGTTCCAGTTTGAACATTCCACCGTAGTGCGTTTCAGCCAACCCAAGCTTACTATAATGCTAAATTAAATCTTACTAACTCTGAAATTATTCCAACATTGAGTAAATTCTGAATCTGTTCTGTAATGGATTCTTTAATGGCACAGACTAGAATTCAGTGCTGGTTTTCAGCATGACTGGCACTAGTTCAGCACCCTGTTCTTTTTCTAGGCATTTTCTGGAGTAGATCAGAACCTACTGGGTTTGCTTATCAGCATTGTTCCAGCCCTCACAAGACATATTAAGCACGGACTAGCGTTACTTCAGAACGAAAAGACTTAATTCAGCACCCAGCTCTCTTTTTAAGCACGACCAGCGTTATTTCAGAACATATTGGTAGATAAATCTTCATTTACCAGAAAAAGGCATTGTCGAAGAATAGGTTAAAATAAGTTTAGAATTGTTGTAAGCTTGTGAGTAGTGTAAGCATATATATCCCAGCTAGCATTTTCTTCGGGTGCACTGCAGAACGTGAAACAATGACCCGAAGCTTGCCCCAATAATTCTGTACTGCTCCCGAAGTCAATGCTATAATATATATTATATAGTTCTATGTAGTACTTGGTATCAGAGGCTAAATTAGACATAGGAGACGCAAACCTTTTACTTAATAGTCAAGGTGTAGATGACTGTAACAGTTGCTCATGAATGTCTCCCTATATTTTGTTGGTGTAAAGTGAAGACTAGTTCAATAATACAGTTTGCACGAAACCTACGCAAACTTTGTCGATTCGCTGCTGTTAAGACGTCATTAGTTGTGGGGTTATGCACTGTGCGATCATGTGACCACCATGAGAATATTTACCTCTTGCTACTTTGTCTCCTTACGCAAGTGTTCTTATAGTAGAATGTTCGCCAACTATACGGAAGGTCGTGTTTTGATTCCCAGTCGACTCATTCCTAATATACCTGCCGGTAGTAAGCTTCTCCTATAGTTTTCTGTTATTTATTGAATGGTTTTTACCCGCGTATCCAGTTCCTTAGCATCCATACGTTTTTTATATCAGTGACTTTAGACGAAGATTCATTGGTTATCGTAATTATTGAAAGTCACTACTTTGTCAAACTGTCAGATTTCATGGAAACTTAAGAGGTTTTATACGGGCTTACGATGATATACTCAACCAGTCATCATTTATTCTGTCCATCTTTGTTCTTCCCTCCTATTTTCACTATTAATGGCACATGTGCTTTCTTCATCCTCGCTTAATAAGCACTGCTTACAATTCGTTTCAGTGCAATAAAATTCCTATGCATGGAGCCTAGCTCTTGATTTTTCACTAGACCTCTGAATTTTGAGACCAAATGAAATTAGAAAACATGTCTTGTTTACCCAAAGACTGGTGTCTCAAATTGCTTTCTGCATCTGGAAAAGTGTAATGATTAATTTTGTGATGCTGCAAAGGTCACTGTGGGGAGCTGTTTGGCTCACTTACAACTTCCACACAAATGCTTTTCCTCCAGTTACTGATTAAGTAAAATGTGAATATTGGTTTTCCAGCTCTCGCTGATGTTAAAGAAGCTCTCGAATCTGAATCAAGATAAAACAGGACCTTCTAAATAGAGTTCAGGAGTAAATAAGAACTAACACATTAACTAGGGGCGCTTATTAGTGTGTAGTACCCGTGGCAATTACTTCAGAGTGAGCGGAATTGTTTTACAGAAAGGGAAAGACGTCTCTTTAACAACCACACCCTGACTGACAATTAGGTCCAACAGTCATCCAAAACGTTTCTGGAACTTACGGGCAACAAATCTTAAAAAACCAGACTGGTTTCAGAGATGAACGACGATCCGTTGATGAAATTTCTATCCTTGGGACCGTTATGGATGTAATATGATATACAACAGGTTCTACTATCTTATTGATCGTGGCTCAAATTAAGAGGTAACATCAAATGTACGGATTTAATTATTGCTCTCCACACCTTCAATATTCTGAGAATGTCTGGTCAACTTGATTGGTACTTTTTATTTGTAGTCATGTAGCAAATAACATTGGTCTTTTTCAACAGCAGCTTTTTTAACCGCCACTTATTCCCGGTAAATAAGATTTATGTATAAAGTGAGATATGAGAATTATTTCATGTTTTCCAAGCTCTGATATTTGGTTTTGAACTTTTAATTACTAGTCTTATTGACGTCAACACTGACCAAGTATCTAAGTCTGGAGAACACTAAGCAATTCTTATTCTCATTTTAAGTTAAAAATCTCAGAGTGAAACATTTTTTTGCATAACGACTAGTACCAAATTTAGTTCGCTGACATAATTCATTTTGCCATAATTTATTTCGAAAAGCTATTTGCAACACTGTTACTTTTTCCAAATCCTGGGTTAACTTTGCTTTATACACACATATGCTCGTGTGAGGAAATAATATAATTAGTAAGTCAGTGTAGTCGGTGGTCAGGTATGTCTTTTGTATTAAATTATGTCACACTGCACAAAAGCTTGGGATGCTAACCAGTTGTTAATAAAAGTAGAGAAAGTAGACGCATTAGCTCAAGGTGAGGTATTGGGATGATGAGACAATTATTATTTAGTTGAAAAGTAAGAGAACTAAACTGGACGACTAGGAGTGTATTTACTGTAATTAAATGTCTAGTAGTAATAAAGTATCCAGTTCCCAACTTCGTCTAAGCCCACAAAGTCTTTACTTTAATACGTTTATAGAGTTCTGCTTGAGACAGTTATGATTATTATTCTTATTCCTTCTCGTCTTTTTTGAATTCAGCTTGATTCGCTAATATGTAGTCAGTGTAATTAAATAATCTTTTTAATTATAATTTACTCTCCGTGCTAAGATGTGAAGTAATGATTCCATCGTTCACTTGGCAAGCTCTAACTGTACCTACTTTAACTATTTTGAGTGTTTTACTCTCAGTATAGCTTGTCTGTTTGTTGTACATAGTTGGTTAGTAAGTTAAATTTGAAATATTGCAAGTAAATCGTTTACAGTTATTCAAAGATTTAAAGACACTGGAGTTTTTGTGGTTACAATGTACTTTTATTATTGCTTTTTAGATTTAAGCTAAATGTGTATCTATGGATGGCGAAAGTGTACGCAGTGGACGGAGTGAAAAAAGTGACCGTTCTCGTCGATCAAAACGCATCCAGAGAACAAATAATGTTCCACCAAATCAGTCTATGTGTATGTTCCAGGAACAGGTAAAAGGTGTAACTGCTTCCTCACAAAACCAACAGCTGGTTGTTGATCAGAATATGCAGCCTATAGATACATCTATCCGCCCATCCTCTCAAAATACTTTGATGCCAGTTGTGCAACAGCCTCACATGAACATGTTTCCGCAACAGCCAATAGGTTTACAACAAAACAATCCTCATCCGTATACATTAGAAACATGGATTCCTCCTTTAATGCCGATGAATCCTAATTTTTCCGCTTGTTCCCAGTCAAACATGTATGTTCCTAATGCCCAAAGTTGGGGAGCCCAAGCTGTACCTCAAGTTTACACTCAGCAAATGATTCCTCAGTCAATTCCCGCTTCTTTCCCCCGACCTCCGAATTGTGCAGGAGTACAATCAAGCCAAATTCAGTCACAACAGCAACAACAAGTCAGTCACTTTATACCTTCTGGGCAGCAGCATCCTTTAGCTCATACTGCTCCATCTCATGTTCCATCTTCCCAGATACCTTCCCAGCCATCATCTCAGATTCCTGAACCATATCGATCTGAACGTTTTGATTCACAGCTCACCCATCAAGATGAAAGTGCTTGGGTCGAGGAAGCTACAGCTGTAACTGGAGCTACAAGTGAGACTGGATTAAGTGGCGATAACTTCTCCCGGTTTGGAGCACGATATGGTCTTGCAACTTCGCTAGGTATTAATTCCAATGGAGGTGCAGGTTGTAATATTAGTGGAGCTGCAGCTGCACTAATACGTTCTGAAGCGGATGAGATAAAGGTTTTCAAGTGTTCAAATACACTAAGTTTTGCTATTTCTGCATTTCTTGGGATTGCCTCATTAGTGTCTCCAATCCTAATGCTTTTGCTTCCATTTCTGCCCTTTTGGATTGGATGGTCAACTGATACTTGCCAACCAACTTGTGAAGGAAATCTCATTAGTATATCCGTAAAACTTGTACTTCTTTCTATTGCTTTATGGTTTTTAAGCTCTCCTTGTCAACCATTCTGTGGCAGTGGAACTGCTATACTTCCTCGTATCCGTCTTTGTCGTACTCTCTTCTTATGTCTTGTACTAGTCGTACTTTTTGCTTTTTGGTTATTTTATACTGTACGAGTTATACAACCAAAGGAATCTGATTACCTTTCCATCGTAGTTTTCGCCAGCAGTTTGACTGATACACTTTTGTTTTTGCATTATGCTGCTATTGCTCTTATGGAATTACGAAAAATACGGTTCCACTATGTCATACACATTGTACGCTCTCCAGATGGAATGTCAAAAACTTTTAAGTGTGGCGAAATGTCATTGCAGCGGGCGGCTGTAGAAGTTCTGCAGTTCTATATGCTTGAATTCACAGTACGTGTTCATGTTTTGCATACATTGAATTATCACACTTAATATTTTTTTAAATTACTAGTTGTCTGGTTAACCCTTTGTGTTACTAGGTTTATAATGCACAGGAAATAAACTGCTCTTTTAAGCCATTCTATTTGAAAGGAAATAACTCAGAAGAGAGATTTTCGCTTGCCAGTATTTTCAAAATTTATGTCACGAGTATTTTACGCCTTATTTAGCTTATGTTTCACTCAACAAATAGGTACTTTCTCTCAGTAAGTTGTAGAACGGTTGAAAAAGGCATTCGCAATCAAGATATTTCTAGTTGGACGAAAAAATGAGGAAGACTTTAAAATTGTACATTTAAATATCCAGATTTCGAAATTTGTTTTGGAAGTTTCTAAGCTACGCAATCAAGATTGAAGATTTTCACTTTGTTGTGAATTCATCTATATGTAGTTACGGTCTGTTAAGAGCAGTCGAGTTTATCATTCATGTGTTCGTAATCTTCACTGTTGTGGATCAGTAAATTAGCATTTAGGTTCTTGGTTGCTGTTGAAGTTCAGAATGACTGAAACAGTTCCAAGTGTGAGCTTTGACATTTAATAAATTATTATGGTTAGATTACTTCGCATCTCTAAGGAAGATAAGCGCATAGTCGATTGTTATTAATTTTGGTCGTTGCATGCAGTTACTAATCTGAATCCTGGAGGATGCGATCTTTCTTTCTGTACACAGAATTTATTTTACTAACTGATAGCGTATCAAACAGTGTACAGCTACATCTAATTGTACAGTGTGATTTCTTGACAAAACGTTTTATGTATTTTAGTTATATGGGTCAAATTTTAAAAGATTCTCGTTTTGCGTCAATGCCTACGAATGCTGTAGAACTTTGGTAGAAGGTTGTCTATATCGAAATTCTTTACAGCCTTTTGAAACATTAAACAAGCATAAATTTGTTTCATTTGTGTTCCAATCCCTAGTGTCGTATCACTTGTTTGTCATGTGATTACAGCTTTGTGCAAAACTGACTGAACAATTAAAAATACCTATTAGATGACTAAGGTTTCATTGAATAGTAACGAGAAATGCATAAAACTGTCTGTTTTATACAGTCTCGAGGTCAGTTAATGACCGTCGAATGATGTAAGTGAAATCATCAGTTAGATTAGTGATTTGATTGATGTTGCATTCATCAGTTTAAAAAATCACTCTAGACCTTAAATATTTATCACACATACTTGCAATATTTGTACATTATTCCTAGCTACACTTTTATAAGATAGCGTTTAAAAGTGCCAGTCTTCTAGAAAGCTACGATTAATTTTGACTGCCTTCGTCTCAGTAAGTTAGTTTCTGATTTCTAAGCTTATCATCTAAGGGTCAATTTTAATTCAGTCTACGTTTGGTGATTGGATATTAATAAGTCTTTGTGTATTATGAAACACGAAATGAACTAAACAATGATTATTGGTTTACTCTACTTATTGTACTTTCATTTGTGCTGTAACTCTTGTAATCTGATGACTTTATACCATTATGTTATGTCTACAGGCATATAACCCGAATCAAAATCCATCTGTGAGCAGTGGCGGTGGAGGCAAACGTAGTCGCCGTGGTGGCTCTGCTTCCGCTGGAAATGGTGGGGGCTCGAAGTATAAATTTTACGACGTAGATAGTGGAGGTGCAGGTCTGACTAAGTCGGAGAATGGCGTTACATATACTGTTGAACAATCTGCCGGTGCTATTACTGCTCCTAGTGCTTCAGTTCGTCTGTACGAAGAAATTGAATTGGAGAAACGTATACGTAAACGGCGTATGAGATTGCTATTAGCAGTCGAGGAAGCTTTCACTCACGTAAAGCGGCTGGCTGCTGAAAACTGTAATAACAGAGGGAGTGTTGCTGGAGTCATGGAGTGTGATCAGACTTTAGTACCTTTCAAAAACTCTCGAAGTAAGCGTTCTTATTTTACTGTCACTGACATTATTTCCTCAAATCATTCAGCAATTATTTAAGAAGTAGGAGTTTCGAAAATATTATGAAAGTGAACATTTTTGTTATCGAGGGTATTCATTTCACTTGAGTTTTTATTACGTAAAGGTCTGAAAAAGTAGGCAGCTACTCTTTAATTTCCCATGCACAAATCAGTTTTGATTTGTAAAAGTGCATCATCTTTGATACCGGCGTAGGATATCGTAGCCGTTAAAGGACGTTCGTAGTACTCACCAGTTTACTACGTCCTACTTTCAGATGAACATAACGCTCGAAGTGAAGGGCTTGTAAAGATTATTGGTTTTTGACTAAAGTTGTTTTTGTTGAATTGTTCACCCTTGGCACAATAATATGGCAGGCAATTTTGAGAGCAGACCTAGAGTGCTAGGCAAGCAAATCAATCAATGAAGTTATTGAGCTCCATCAGTTAAGGTTGCTGAGATCTCTGTCACGCACAGTAAGCCATCTTCTTCCTCAATGAGCAGTGTTAATTCATGTAGGATTAGGTTAGCAAATAATTAGTTTTGGTCAAATCAGAACGTGAATTCAATCGATAAAATCATTGTATTGTTAACCTGAATCACTGGTTTTGGTTTTTGGGATCCTAATAATCAGTGGTTGAAAACTTGTCGAAATGACCCACCCATTCATAGTGTCTCCGTTGAATATAGTTTTTATCCTCGAGGTGTCCTCATTGTTATTCATTGTCTTTCTCCTCAGATTTATGTTTGCCCATCGTAGCACGGATAAATTTTTATTTTCTTTCATGGTTTTATTAGAAGTATAACAACGTAAACTAATCCATTTTTGTACGAAGTTCTGTACTGCTTCACCTTCATATCTGTTGCATTTCCTTGTAACGAATTAAAGCTGTGGATAACTGATTTGGCGTTTTAACCTGCTGTTAATTTCTGATAAGTGTGAACATCGGTACTCCGAACAAAGGTTCGGATAACTGAAAAGATGTAGGTCAGGAGTGATTATAACACCCCTGTATGTCTACTGAATCACATTTGAACACTATCGAGAAGTCACATTCTGGTCATTATTTAGTGAAATACTAAAGAGCTTAAAGTCGAAGACGGTCACTAGAGTACTAGAGTTCTTCAATACATGTTGTCCCAGGGTTTTTTAGAAACTACGAGAATATATCTAGTTTACTGCTTAACTGAAGATTAATAGTGATTGTTATTTTGAATTTCCATCAATGTTGTTTGTGAATTTGACAAATTCACCTTCCGGTAAATTGAACAGAGCTTGACTACTTGCGGATAACATTCAATTTCAGTTAGTCGATGTTTAATTCTGTGACTTATATCTACCTTTTAGCATTCTGAAGAATAATGATTCAGCTAAAAGTGATTCTTAAGGAGTCTTGCAGCAGCTTTTCTGGTAGTCAATTTTTCCCCACAACTTTTCAAAAAGCTGGTTTTCTTGTTTATTATATGGTTGACGGGAAACTTGCCTATTCCCTCTAATTTGGCGAAATTCTTCCTCAGTGCAGTCATATAGAGAAGGAAAAACGATTTAACAACAAGAGTATTTTTTCAACAAAATTATTTATGGAATCTGTAAAACCATATTTATAACTATTGCAAGGAAACAACATTCTTCTACTAATTGCTCCTCGACAAGTTTACTGAAAAAGAAAATATAAATGAATTTTAGGAAACGAAAATGGGTTTTGCAGTTTTATATACTATAGTTCGACAATTCATCTTTGTTTATTTTCTGGGTCTTAATTGCCTTTTGTTTCTGCATAGATCTAAAAGATTTCAATTAGTTTTACGCTAAGCAACATATACCTTAGTTTACGTTGCAAAATTCCTACAAGGGTTTCCTTCGGGTGATGAGCACAACTTTCGTGTAAATTTACCTTGTATAACTTACAACTTGTAAATTAGAATCCCTCAGCCTTTAAATAAAGTATCCATTAGATATTGCTTCTGTTAGTAAACTCAATACAGTTTTAATATTTACGACTGTTTCTTAGAAGATGGTATTTCAAATTGTTCTAGTTGTTGTTATCACAATTATTTTATAATTTAATGCTTGGTCCCAAAGTTTTATAGGAATAATTGGTCATTACTAATAATTTACATGATTCTCTGCATACTAACAGGCAATGGGCGTATGTCAAAGCTCAGTTGTTCTACAGGAAAATCTTTGGATCCATATGAAGCTGCACAAGCTGTCTTTCCTACACTTATCCGGCCGTTACAAAAGTATATGCGCGTTACACGTCAACAAGCTCGTCATCCCGTGGATATGGTCATTGACCATTTGGCTCTTTGTTTAGCCTATGGTCTGTCACCGCATGCTTTCTTGGAACGATTTAATCCGTCAGCTGCTACACCGCAACAAGATGCTGCTGCTGCAGCGACAGCCATTGCAACAGCAAAAAGAGCTAAGCATCAACAGAGTGCTAAACAAGTAAACAATGTTCCAGATAACTCGGACCCGTCTCCTTTACTACCGAAATATGTGCATCCAGGTGGCCAACAGATCTGGAGTATTGTAGCTGATCGAGCTTTATCTCGTAGTTTAGCTGATGGTGCCATATTTCAGCTGCGTCGTGGAAGTGAGCTGTCTTTACTGTGTACTGTAAGACGCTTACCGCTTATTTATCTCATTGAAGAGATATTAGAGCCCTTAGAAGCAGGTAGATTTGTTTTACGAACTGACAATGCAGTATAGTTTTATGATTAAATAAAAATACACTGTTCAGGGAATGTGATCTCATCCATCTAGACTGCTTTTTTTTTAAAAAAATTACAGTTTTGGTTCCGAAGTTTTCTATCTCGAGTTTTGTCGAAATCAATTTGATTGATTTGTAGAACACGTTGCTTAATTTTGTTTTATCCCCATGACTGTTTCTGTATTTGTTGTTATTATTGTTGCATTTATTAAAAAAAATTATTTACAATTTAAAAATTTATTTTGTTTCTCGTCGAAGTGAAGTCTTTGACAATTATTCTTCTCATTGTTTGTATTTTATTCTGAGTACTTTGTTTTGTTGTACTGCTTTTTTTCCCACTTATTCTCTTCAAAGTGGAGAAAAAATTTCCACATGCATTTTGTTTTTTTTGTTTTGATTTCTCACCAACGAACACTAGTCACTGAAATAATAATAGTAACTATTATGATTGCCATTATGTATTTGATTTTACTTATGTGTCATTACTGCTGTTTATATTTAATATCATGTTATGTGTGTGTGTGGTGTGTTTATTCTCACTTTTCCCTTCATTATTCTTTGCTTAAAGCAGCCATTTTTCATATTTTCCAAAACTCACTTTGTATGAAAGTTTTTTTTCTCTAGCTTTATTGTGCATATTATTCTCATGTACACCGGTCTATCCTCCGGTTCAATTGATTGCTTTTAGCACCGGTTATATATCAATGATTTTTTTCCTCAGTGAATTAATTCACTTTCATCTTTTTACTCATTGACTTTTAGTAGAAAGCAGTTTGGTCTGTATGTTTGGGAAGGATGAGATACCTTTAAGACTCCTAATCGTGGTAAAATATTTCTTTATTAGACTTCAAATTTCATCATATGTCTGAATTCAGTAGTACTACTACATAGATATTTGCGTGTGGAGCTATGGCTTATTGATTTAAGCTGTCGACTTCCAGCCAATAGGTGACAGGTTCGAATCCTGCTCTATCTTCTGTTGAGTGACATTTCATTTTCTTCCTAGACATTTGCATGTATGCTGTTTTTAAATGCTTCAAGTTCATTAAGAGTATAAATTAAGGCGAACTGGACTGAATTTCCAACCTAAAACTTTGCATAAAAGTGCACAGGCTCAAGTCACCACATTTCATGAAAGCACACATAACAGTAGAAGAAAATTGAAGAAACAACAGTTTCACGGTGAATAATGAAAATGTAACGGATCTTGGGGTTCATACTGAGTAAATGCATCAGCACCGCTGAGACACATCACCAAAAGCCTTCATTAGTTGTTAGCGTTCAGAAGACCCCAGCCAAACAGTCTATAATTCTTTATGTGATACAAAACAGCAATCATAAGCTTTATGGATTGGTATTAGGTTTTGGTGTGACCACCCCTGTCTCTTTCCAACCTAACTTATGTCAGCTAACACTGACCAACGAAAAAATCGATGGCTTGGCATGCGTAACACGTGTCCTAGTGGCCTCAATCGATGCAGATTCACAAACTCATCGATTGACCTTCTCCCTTACCTATCACTACACCTAAACTCAGTATTAATGATGATATCATACTACCTGACGCAGACATCATAAAGGTGGCTGACTTCATTTCTTCGACTTTTAATGGCCATGAAGAATGATGGTTCAAACTGCTACGCAGTACTCACGTCCATGCGCTGGAGGTGACGTAAGTTGGCAAATGCTACAACAGGAGCCGTAGGTGTCATCTTATCTGAGATCACGTCAGGTAAACGAGTTAACATGGAGTTATATATCACTACACTTACATAAACTACTTAATTCGTTTTCTTCTGAGTTACTTTGTTACAGTCAACTTGGTAATACTAGTTCACTGTAAATCATGAGGCAACTATTTGACAGTCTTACTGTTTATGATAACTTAGTTGACATAATAATCAGAATTAAGATTTTACAAATCATCTAATTTATTTGAAAGCAATAGAAATGTACAAGTTTAAATAATCACATATTTATCAGTAATTATATGTCTGAGTGATCATTTAGCAAGCATGTGTAATAATAAATATGCTTGTAGTAGAAATATAATCTGCGACTGAAGACATCAAAATAAAAGGATCTAAAAGAGGGATAGAATTTCACTAGAATATTCCAAAGAGACATATTGATTTATCATTTCACTTAGTATAGCATTTAAACCAAAGAGACGAAAGTTGGAGATTATGCAGAAAAAAAAACAATGGCCTTTATATCACTTGTTTGCTATGTATATATTTACTTGATAACCACTTCACCGTGTATATATACCTTAACAATAAAGGTGTATTATAATTAATTTTGAGTTATCCTTGTTTATTAGTTCTTATTTCTCGCTGACTTCTTCTTACATCTTTCACTCTAGGAAAGCCATCGAATGTTTCACGATTTTTTCGCACCCAATAAGCTGCTTTAGCTTCTTCCATCAGCATGAAATTCTTCATATTTTCACGTTTCATTGATGAATCTTTGACTTCAACACAAATATGACTTGGAAACCAACCACGTCTACCATCAGGTAGGGCTCCTTTAAGCCAACCTACAAAATAATTTCAAAAAAAGTGTTTGTTGGTTAGAGGGTTTTTGTAAGGGCTTAACCTACAGATAAATGTAGAAAAATTAGAGAAGGAAAGTCTACGAGAGAAAAAAGAAAATATACCAATGTTTTGTCTTTGACTTTTGTTAATACTGCTTGTTACAACATGTGCTGGAGATAAATTTCATAATAATTATGAAAAACAAGACTAGTTAATTGAATAGATGTTTCGGTAACTTGTGTAACTTAGAGATAATGGTAACTTAGAATTCTACAAGTTTAGAAGCCTGACTATTTACATTCACAGATAACAAGTATGTTGTGAGAGATTGTTTTGACTACTACTACAACATATCTGCTAGTCTTTTATACTATTGTAGTTATTGTAAATACGCTTTAATCGATACTACTTATTAACTAAAAGAATCTTTCTTAGCTATTATTTTCCTTCCTTCACGTTCCCAGTGGAAAATAGGGCCTCAAGCTAGAGGCTTGAAGTTTCTGTAGCAGTGGTTATTTTTACAGGATGCGGTTGCTAGCCTCATGCCCAACCTTTCCTCTTTACCAGTAGTACTACTGGCTTAGCGAGGTAAAGGAGTGCGTCGGCCGGGTATCGAACCCCGGACCATGTGCATGGTCGGCGAGCGTCCTAACCGCTGTGCCACCGACAAAGCCGTGTGCGCCGTGCGTTAATTATTGGTTTATTCTTAGTAATAAATATAACTGTCAAGTCTAGTCACAAACTGACTTTAGGTAAAGAACCATTGAAAACCAGGGAGTGGTGGACAGCTGTTTTGTCCCGGTTTGTGACTTTTCTTGTCAAACACTCACTAATGACTGGACTACAAGATGAGTTACTGAAGTCCTAGTGAGAAGTCGTGATCAGCGAGTTCTACCAAGTTGGGCAGAAGAACAGATACAGGTAATACTGGCTGGTGGTCACGCTAAGATCACAAATTGTAGGCAGCTAGAATTCGTCGGCCATTAAATTCTATCCCAATGGCTGACTAGTCAACAGGTTTGCCTTGTAACCTGAAGGTTCTGGGTCTCATCACCGGTGGGGTCATGAGTACGTGTTGCTGGAGAGTCCCAAACTAGGATAAAACAGCTGCCCGGTACTCCTGGGTTTTCACTGCTCCTCTAACTGCTTTCATTTCGTGACCAGACTTGCAATCAATCAAAACCCTGGAAACCAACACTTGGGAAATGTGAATTTCTTTTAAATCCACGTGTATTTTAGTGTATAAGAATCTGTGAGGCATAAAACACTTTTAATCTGTAATTATAAAGTAATTACAACTTGGATATTACGGTAAGATAGATACTTCTCGAAAGCATGCAAAGAATAACATCAAGGACTGTTGAGAAGGTGAACACATATTAGAATGAAATTACACCTTTAAGTTGTTATATTCACTTAGATATGTAGTTAATATTTACGTAAATAAAACGAATGTTTAAGAAGTGCTATATTGTCTCGTTACATGTTTTATTGATGATTCATTCAGACAAACCTTTATAATGTATATTGATGTATGCGAAGATGCGAATGCTTAGAATAATCAATTTGTTAACTTAACTGTGTCAGTATTTATTATGCTATATGTGTTCAGATTTATCCATTTACAATTATTCACAGATTATTGTAAATCGAATGATTTCTCAAGGTTTAAGAGAAATATTTCCGTTATCCTAGTAACAGCCTCTCAAGGTGTGTGTGTATATGACAGACGTAACGGCTAGAAGTACAGAAGAAGAATGGTTTGTGTGTCATAAATATCCTGTATACTTTGAATCACTAACTACTAAGCTGAAGGGATTTACACATTTCCTCGGTGGTTTTTTTTCCAAGATCTTAAGATCTGTCGGTAGAAGAAAATGATGAATCTTAAAGTTTTAACATAGTTTTCTAATTTCTTTTTTAATTTTTTGGAAAGTAGAGAAAATTATTTGGAATGCTTAGTACCTAAAGAAAAACTGAAAAATAGTCAAACATCTGTTTTCCTTTTGGAATTTCATTTTCAGTAGGAAACATTATACCTACTTTAAAGGAAACAGTATTAATTTATCAGGCAAATATGTATATATATTATCCCCATAAATTTACTCAACTTTTTTAAAAAAAAAGGAAATATACTCGCCGTACTACATTTTGTACTTATAGACATTAATAGCCATTATTTAATCTATTTTGAATTATTCAATAGTAGCTTGTGTATAAGGTATTGTTAAGATGAAAAATAGGCAGAATAATTAATGTTTATTATTGTAAATGCCATAGAATTTCTGTCGCATTTCTTCAAACAACGACAACAACAAAAAAAGAAGCACAGTTAGATTCAAGTGTGTTTAATGAGATAGAATATACATACACAAAATAATATTTTAAATAACTAAAGTAAGGAATAAGGTAATAGGCACATACCATCTGAAAGACTGATAAGCACATTAACTTGATCGCCTTCTTTCAACTCCAATTCATCGCATTCAAGAGCAGAATATGGTTTAGTGATAAGCACTTGAGGACATTCTAAATTTTGTATAGAAATAAATATTTAACTGATATCAAATGGAATAGTAGAAGTAAAGTGTAAACTTAAAAAAATTAGCAGGTTAAAATAATAATTATTTAATCAACAATTGGAAAAGCTATAAAACCGATAGATTATATCTTAGGCATCAAAAACAATTATTCTTTTAATGTTACGAGTTGATCACGGACTGATATCAGTTAGAGAACCAGGGAGTACTGGACAGCTGCTGTTTCATCCTAGTTTGGGAATCATCAGCAGCATGCACCCACTGGGGTTCGAACCCAGGACCTTCCGGTTACAAGGCAAGCTCGTATACCATTCAGCCACTGGGACCCGATTCAATGGCTCATGAATTCTAACTTCTACCAATTCGTGATTTAGCGCGACCCCTGGTTTTCAATGGTTCTCTAACTGATATCAGTCCGTGATCAACTCGTAAAACATAACTAATCCTTACAAACCAAACTATAGAAAACTTATCATATTACTTTCAAGAGTTGATTTGTAAGGATTGGATTTGTTGTTCTAGTTTGACCACGTATTGATATAAGTTAGAGAATTATTGAAAACAAGGAGGGGGTACTGGACAGTTGTTTCACACTAGTTTGGGAATCATCGGCAGTACTCACCCACTGGGTACTCCTTGGTTTTCAATGGTTCTCTAACTGATATCAATCCGTGGTCAAACTCGAAAAATAATTTATTTGATAATCATGCAGACTTTATTTCTATTCATCAATTATTGAAAACATTTATTTCCCGATACGAATTTAAAACAAGCAATAAAGGTCAATAAAGCAGGATTTAATGAATTCATCAAATTTCGGTAGAACTCGTCAGCTGAATACTCTACATACACGGATATATATACTTTTGAAATTACATTGGGAGATATAAGACTGATAAGCAAATAAACTACATTGAATTAGTC